CACCTAACCAGCTTCCGCTGCACTTAGACTTCCTCCTCCTCTTCTAAACATTAAAGAGTCGGATATATGTATAGGAAAGATCAGACAAAGTCGACTTCGACGGAAGTACATTCACGACTCGCGTTGGTTCGCATAATCAAAGACCCGCAGACAAAGTGTAAAGACCCTTTAGAATTTTATGCTTGAGTCATCCATCGACAGCAACTTTGGCGGCTTTGGCTTTGGCTTTGGCTATGTGTCTTGTATTTGGTATTTGGTGTTTATTTTTTTATTTTTTGTTTGGGCTTTGCTTCCGTTTTCAAAGGCAGAACAACCGCTACGGCGGTCAAAACTATTAACAAGTCCAAGTTACAACCTGTCGTCGGCGTTTCTCTATGGCAAGTGCACAATCAGCAGCAGCAATTACAATTACAATTGCATTTGCAGCGGCAACAGCAGCAACAGCAGCAACAGCACCAACGTTTCCGCTGCTCTTGGCCAAAAAAGGCATTCGACAATTATAATTGAGTGTGAGTGGAAAGCAAAAGCAACAAGTGCAATACACTTCGATTGCGCCCACCAATAACCCACTGGCTGATGGCTGGGTAAAAGGGACAGCACGAGTGGCCACAACTTAGTGGCAACTTCTTCGTTTTTATTTGCCAACACGAAAGGCAAAGACCGGTCAACCGAGGCAGCCAGAGAGCTTGGAAATTGTCAACACAGCCAGCCACTTGCCACACAACTTTGACTACAACTCCCCAGAGTTTTGGGCAGTGGGGCATGGAGGGGCTAAGAGACATCCAGCTGCGTAGACAGAGCTCAGACATTGTCCAAGCTGCCTCGTCGTTTTGCACTTTTCCAAAAACATCAATAGACCAGTCTCGTAGTCGAAGTGTGTCTACGCTTCCTTGAAGTGAAAATGATTGGGAAATTTAAACACAAGGAAATGTAGTTATGTAATATAAATTATGTTTATGCCGATTGCAAGCTTTAAATGAAGTCAAATGAATTGGGAAGTAAACTTAAATTTAAAAATAATTTTTACAAAAACTAATGATCTTAAATTTGGTTTACGTAAAGTAAAAATTATAAGGAGAAGGTAAAAAATCATTTGGAAATTAAAACATGAGGAAAGATATGTAACATAATATGTATTATGCCGAATCCAAGCTTTAAACATCAAATGTATTCTTATAAAATTGATAAGTCAAATGAAATGGGAAGTACATTTTAATTAAAAAATAATTTTTACAAAAACTACTAAGCTTAAATTGGGTTTATATAAAATACAAATTATAAAGAAGTAGGTAATAAAATAATGTTAAAGGAATTATCTATAGACACAATAATATTAAAAATTTTGGCTTATAAGACCACAGTAAACATACAATTATTCAAATATTTTATGAAACCTTTTAGTTAGGCGTACTAAAGCTTAAATTAAATGTTCAGGACTTGAACATTTATGTAGCCTTTCACTAAAAGAGAAAATTGTTTACAAAAGTACAGCAATTCCAATCAATAAAAAATACATGTTGTAAGCCTTGAATTGCCATTTGGGGGTATAAAATAACCAAGCATATGCCAAAGTTCTTGTACCGATTTCTCCTACTCGATTCTCTATCATAATCTTTTGCCAGTTGCTTCTTTTTTTTTGGCATGCGCCGCGTGAAAAACGAAATGAAAAGTTGTTGCTGCTGTGTCGATGTCGAAGCTGCGATGTTGCTGCTGTTGCTGTTGGTGTTGCAGTGGTCAGTTGCCGGCGTATCTTTTGGCCGCCCGAAGGCTGCAGACCCAGCAAAATATAGAAACACACTCCCAAACACATTTGAAAATGGAAAGTCGTTGTCTGGTTGTCGTTTGCAGTTTTGTTTTGGGGGTTTCATTTGGTGTTTCTTTTTCTATTTTTTTTGGTTTTAGTATGTTTTTTTTTCGTTTTTGCCTGGGCTGCAACCGGTTGCATTAGTGCAACAGCAACAGCAACAGAAACATTAGCACATGCAACAAATTTTCGTATTATTTTTATTAGATTTTGATTTATTGTTTGTGTGGATTGCTGCGGCCTGTCTGCTAATTGGAATTGGCCAAGTCGGAAAATGTGGTAACTGCAGCGCAGGAATTCTCGGCGAGAAATGAGAAACGAGAAATCTCGGCTTCTCCTTGAGGAGGAAAGCGAAAGTTAGACGCTTTAAATTTGAAATTGAAATTTCTTGTTTCTCGGTTTATGGCCGAGGAAAAGCAAAAGCCGCGACTGCCGACTCGAGAGCCGATTCGAGCCAAGTGCACGTTTAGTTTGGGCCATAAACTGTGCGCTGCCACTATGAGCTAACTCTGCCTGGGCGGCGGAGAGGTTTCTTTTCGCACTCGCCGGGTTATATAAGGTTGCGGTTCGGCAAAACCATACTTTAACTTACCTTACCTTACCTTACCGAACGTCATTAAAATTGCAAATTTCTTTCCGTCTTTATCTGCCTGTGTGGATAATGGGACCAGAAACTAATAAGCAGGTGCCGAATGGATACAGAAATATCTGCGGCTACGACCCGAAGATAGCCCATTGTTACAGCCAGGTAAACCTTAGAGTAAACTGTCTGTTTTCTTGGGGTTCTGCGTGTCAACGCTTTTCAGAACCGAGTTCATAAATAAAACATCGGTTTAAATTAGTGGCTGGCCCTGGCCGTCTATCGGTTGATATTTGTATGGAAACAAAACCAAAAATTGGATTGATTTATAATCACATACAATGTTTATATTATGCGTTTCCTAGACAAAAGTTTTAGAACAAAACTACCGTTTCATTGGCGATACGAGGTATTTATATCTGCTTTTATACCCTTTTAAAAGCCATCTGCGAATCGATTTTGCAGCTAATAATGGGGTTTTGGGATTAATTGGTTTTTTAATGGAAAGAATTTCTTCAAATACTCAGTTCTTTTACAGTTTATAAGCAATCAACAATTGAATCACGTTGGGTGCTCTTCATTTAAAAACGTGCTAAATATGGAGAGATTACTTTCTTCAGTCCATTTAACCATATAGATCTCATTTCTTTTGCATCCCACAACAATCTCAACGAGTTACAAATTTCACCCGCTTCAATTTCAGACCATAATCAAATATTTTGGCCACTGCCCACTCAAAACACACGCACAACAAGTTGGCGAGTTTATCAATTAACATTTGAAGCATATTTACGAGCAAAATATTTCACTCTTTCATTGCCGTTAAGTGTTTATAACTTTCACTGCATCGAAGCTGTCTCATCTTTCAATAGAAAACATTAATTAAAGCATTAAATGCACATAATTAACGCAGTCGCAGATGCTGACTCTTCTTTTCCTCGGTTATATATGGCTATATAATCGGATTTCTTTCTCTCCGTTTTTGCCCAACAGTTGCACATTCGTATGTTTGAGATTTTAATGATTTTCCTTTGTTTTTGTGTGTTTTTCGCAATGTTTTCGCATGGGAAATGATTTGGAGTGCAGTGGAAAAGTGGCAAGTGGCAAGTTGGCGGGGAAAAGCCGCGTCATTGAGGAAAAGACGTCAAGTGGAGTTAACCTTGAGTTTTCCGGGGTAATAAATTAAACTGTTTTGTGTGTGGGGCCGTTGTCAGTTGCGGTAAGCATAATTTCTTTTCTTCATATGCGGAAGGCACAATCGAGTGAGAAGGAAGTGAAACAACTTGGTTACAGCCAAGGCTTCTGAAGTATAACCGCAGATTGTTAAGAAAGTTATTCGCATTAGTGCCATTTTAATGATAATACAACAAGCTTTTGGCACAAAGGCCACAAAAACCAACGATTGAGATGGAAAACAATCCTAATAAATCCCCCATAGGACAAAAGTTCATTATCTCTGACCATATCGGAGTTAATTTCATGCCAACATTATGTAAACGAAGTCACAGCCAAGCGAAAAGAAAAAACGAAAATTGTATCGGAAGCTTCACCCAAATAAACTGAGTTTTAACAGTTAAATCAAGATGGGCAAAAGCGCGGCATGTGTGTCAAATGTTTAAACGTTTAAAATGTATAAATCCATCGTACGAAAATGAACAGAAATCCAACGAAATATTTTACAAAAAGTAAACGAGAAATGCAAAATAAAACTGAATAAAATTATAAATGTTTGCCTTGCAAACCGGTTGGAGCATAATAATCATATCAGAACCGGTTGGATTTAAGAACAGTTCAAAACGAACTGTAGTCAGACCCAGAATCAAATCGCCACAGGATTTTACCTTTGGCTGTAATATCCCCAACCTTTTGGCAATTAATTTTACAATTTAAGCCAAAAATAATTTGATTTAAAGTTGTGTCAAAACGGATCACAGTCTAATTTCAATTTAATTTTATTAAGATTGAGATTTTATTAATTGAGATCTGCGGGCGAGACAAGCGTGAAGCATGCAAAATTGCCGCGACTCTGCAATATTTATAATAAACAACTCAACGCTTTTGGCCACAAAAAGCGGCCGAAAAAGATTGCCAAAGTTATTGCCTGTCAGGCCAAGTGACGGCTGCCCAATCTCGTTGTGGTGTCTCGGATTTCTTGTTTCTTTTTTTTTTTTTTTTTTTTTGGTTGGAGGGGGCCTTTTTGGTTCCCGCTGATTATTGAAAAGAAGTCTTCCGGAATCGCAAGGGGAGAATTACTTTCGCAGTAGATAAGCCATCGGGTGCTAATCACAAGCTGCCTTCAACGGGTCCCCAGGCCATTGATTTATTGCCAGATTTCAAGTTAACACTTTTTTGCCGATCCCAAATTGAGTTATTTATTCCTGGACCGAACGGTCACGTACTGAGTATTGGCAGCAGCAACAGGTTGCACGTTGCACGTTGCTAGTTGCAGTTGCACTTGCAACTTAGATTTATATTCGTAGATTTTGGCAGTCGTGTTAATGAAGTTTGCTGATTTATGTGCTTATGAGGCTGTCGCCAGTGCTTTGCCGTTGCCCACAGGAAGTGGGTTTCGAAAATCGATTTGGAAAATCTAATTGGAGTCTCTTTTACTTGCAGATTCCTGGCAGCTCCCTTCTAACACTGGACTCATCACTGGAAACCCATTAAGTGGTAAGTGCCAACTCATAAAAGTACTTAACAGCTCGAGGTATTTGTCGAACAACAAAGCTGCCAAATAAACAATTTTGTTTATGTTTAGTGCCGATGATCATTGGTCTGGTCAATAGATGGGCACCCAGAAAGAAGTGAAATGTGTCACAATAAGAGTCTGGTTAGATAAGCTAATTCATGCTCCAGTTATGACCGTTTTGTTCAAGATCTTCATGCACCTTTCCACCACAACAAACCGATACATTTTAATTCTGCTGCGTTTTATGGTTTTGCTTAACTGCACAACCAGTTTGGGTTTTGTTAATCAAAACGTCGGAGAAACCTTCACGAATGACAAAAAAAATGTCAAACATTTTGTTGCAGGGAAAAGTGAAAATCTGAGAAACTAAAATTGTACAAACGCAAAAAGAAAATTACTAAAATTGTGGTTTATTTTCCCTAGCAATTCATGCATGAAAATGGGTGCCATAGTGAAACTGAAACTGGCTTTTGGTTTTGGTTGAGTAAAGTTAGCGATCAGGCCTTTAATGGGTTATAAAATGGGGATTTTAAGGCTGTAAATGAGGGCCGAGTTCGAAGGATCCTGGCGTTTTTTTTGTAAGGAATAAATCATCCGCAAATTTGGGCCTTTATTTCATGACCTGAACATTTTTTGTCCCTTCTTTTTACTTAGTCATATATTTAAGACTTGCTGTTTATGGTTAACGTTTTTTTTCCCCCTTTAAAAGCCAAAAGAAAAGTGATTCACGTGGTTTTTGGGTCAAGTTTATTGTTTTCTGTTGGTTCACTCTTAGCCCAATCACATGAATCACTTGTGCCTTGGCCAAGCTCTGAAATCATTTGCCACAACTATGTTGTGCGGCTCATTAGCGATGTTTAATTAGATATTTATCTCTGGCCTGCAGCCAAACTTCGCACATCTATCGTCTTTTTTTCGGGGTTCTCCTCGTGTCGCACTTCAATATCAGTTTCCTTTATTGTGTCAACACAATTCAAAGCAAATTGCCAATTGTTGTCGGATTGTAGGTTTTGCTAATTCCCAAAGCCAACAAACTGAATTATTTATCAAAGGCAAAAAAAGTCTTTTAAGGTAACACAAAGCGGGCAAACGTGCTCCGAAGTTCATAAATAATTTGTTACAGTTTCTGCGACTTATTTTTGGGTCTCTGTGCTTTGTTTAGGTCTCGAACCAAAATAAGCCTTTTGAAAGAATTGAAATTTATAGATTCCCCACTCAAAAGCTTTCAATTTTCTGACCAGAAACGATTCTTGATTGAGAGTTATGAAAGGAATGCTCTATTCACTGGGTTCTATAGTTGGTTCTTTTCCAGTTAAACGACTTTCCCATACAATGGCTGGCGAAAGGGGAGGCAGAAAGAATACTTTCTAAATGCACAAATCACGGTAGTGGATGAAGAATTCAATGCTGTAAAATAAACATTTCGGGCTCCAAAACACCTAAATAGGCCTTAATTAACAATTTATGTGCAGTGCCAGCAGCAGCAGCAAAAGCAGCAGCAGCAGCAGCAGCATCAACTTGATGCATCATCCTGGGCATCGGCAATGGTTTTATCTCCATCGGAGTCTGTAATCTGGTGGCTACTGTGCGTTGTCACAGCCAGCTCCTGCGGCCACATTTCTGCCCAGTCATCCTTAATTATTATGATTATCGATGTTTTATGCTCTATAATTGCCGCTGGCAGTCGCCAGTTGGCAGTTGGCAGTGACTTGGTCTTTTTGGGCGTCTCCCGGACCAACCCCCAAAGTTGCCGTCTTCTTTGCTGCTGCCCTCTCTCTTTGATCTCCATTCTGGCCTTTACCTAATTGATATAATTCTGCAGTTTAACTTTGGCTTACTTTGTTGCATGCTTGACGTTCTTCTCGTCAAGTTCGTGTCCTAAGTCTTTTGTTTTGGCCGTCAACTGCCGCTGGTTCTACATAAATTACGCCAAGTTAATGATTATCTCTTAGTTGGTTAACCAAGTGTCAGCCTAACACAAGGCAAACACATATATCCGAACAGAGTGAAAGACCAAAACACCGGCAAACTGGCAGCCGACAACGGGCGAAGATAAGTTTGGTTTTGGCACAGTTGTTGCACAGTGGAGTCATAAACAATACACTAGTAAATATGCTGCTTAAATTGCTAAAAAATAAAAAATACATGTTCCAAAATATTTGGTGCTTTTAATATTTTAAACAAATAATAGCAGCATCTTTGGGTTGCATTTCAAATTTGAACTCATTGAAACTTAGGGTAAACTTATTTTTCTTAAAATTGTATTTGCATGTACCTTAGCTAAATAGTAAATTTAAAAAATCAAAATAAATAAACGACATATGGCAAGTCGCAAATTATTTAGTTTACAACCTAAATCTTTTCAAAAGGTAAATTAATTTGATCACATTTTAATGGTTTTAATTAAAATTAATAAGTTCAAGCACATAGATAATTTTAAACCTATAGCTAGTCTCTTTTAGAAAGTCTTGTAAATTCGATTTATTGGTAAAATAAAAAAGACTATTATTACAATCACTATTTAAACACAGCTGGTTGCAAAAATTTGATTTCTGCTGTTTCTTTAAAAATCTACTTTCTTTTAGATTATTTATTAATATCAACTTAATCCATTTATATCCGTAGGCAAGTCTAAACCCAATATAGTTCAACACCGAGTAAATTTTATTTATTTGTGCGTTGTTTGCTTAAAAATTTTAAAGTGAAGCATATCAAGTACCTATTCACTCACTTTAAAGTCACTGTGAGCCAGTTTGTAAGCAGGCAGCTCTATCCGTACCATGTTCGTCCATCTGTCCGGAATGTCCAGGGCGGGCGTGCATTAAAATTTATTATATAAGCCAACAAAGTCGCCGTTGCAGTTGCAGCTTCATCTGCCGACGCCGCCGCTGCTGCCGTTGCAATCTTTTAAAAATCTCGCGTACTCATCAACAACATTTCAAAGTGTACGTACATCAAAGTGGACTAGTCCCTGACTTCCCCGCCTAACAGTTGTACATGGAAGGTGTATCGCATAAAATCACAAAAAGCTATCTAAACAGGAAACCCAACAGCAATAGCAACGGCAACAGCAACAGCAGCGGCAACAGCAGTAGGAGCAACATCAACGGCAGCAGCAACAACAACAACTATGTCGTTGTTGGCGGCGTCGAGTAAATTAAAACAAAACGTTGTCGTCGTCTCCTCCTCCTAAAGAGTTCCTCGGGCCTTGCGACTGATCCTGCCCCCCGTCCCTGCCCCTGGTTACCTGTTGTTTAGATGTTCTACTGCTGCTGCTGCTGCTGCTGTTGCTGCTGCTGCTGCTACTGGACTGCTCCTCCTGGCTGTCTGACTATGTCTGCTACTGTCTGCTGTTTTGTTGCCTTAACACTTTGCACAAATATTATTATGTATTATGCTTTTTCGCCATGTTGCTGTGCTTGCTGCGGGGTGGTAGCAACAACTTTGATGGATTGCACGTCTGTCGTGAAGAACTCAACTTCAACTTCGACTTCAAACTTGGCTGAGTGAAATGGCAGCCACTTTTTTATATTTTCGTTAGCTGGGCGTGAGCAGTAGCAGCAGCGGCAGCAGCAGCAGCAGCAGCATCAGCAGCCACAGCAACAACAACACGCAGCAGACACGACAGCAACATCAAGATGAACAGAATTTGAAGGTCAGATCCGAAATGGTTTTTTGGGAAAGTCTCGCCGGAGTCGAAAACGTTGTTTATTAGCATCAAATTTTGGAAGCTCAGATGTGGGACGGAATAAAAGAGATACTTGAGTGTCTGGGCGCACTTTATGTAAGAGGTTTATCTAGCAGTTGCATGAAGTTGCGGTGGGGAATGCATTTTGAGTAGGAATGTAGAAATCGACTTATAGCAAATACATTTGAACAATATAAAATTATTTTAAAAAGTAAGTATAAATGAAAAGGTTAGAAATTTATTTTTTTTGGTCTTTATAATTTTAAATTTGTTGAAAATATTATTTTAAAATCTACTTTTTTTTTTAGTATAATGCAAGTTTTTGTAAATGAAACCAAACTTAATTTAAAAATGCTTCATTTTTGTAATGTTTTAATGTGTTTAAATGAGTTTTTTGATAAATCTTTTTGGTTTTTCGTCATTTATTTCTGACTGTGGGTCTCTTTTTTTTTGGGACTACACATCTGATTTTTACCCCCACTCGAGTGCAATGGCAGAGCAAACAAATATTTTTGAAGGCACGCAATTCGATCATCTCCGACGCCTATGCGTTTCGACTAGGGCGCGTCTGAACCATAAACCCAAAACTGAAAAAATGACTAAAGATGGTGCCAGTGATGAATTCGACATTGGAGTGCCAATCAAGGAAAATGCTGGGCTCATAAAACGCCACGAAAACATTGTGTAAATCAGGCATGATTTCTTGATTTACAGGAAAAGGGCACAGAGCCCTCGATTGATTAGTCACGCCTCTTAGAATTCCAGCAAATGCAGCTGCACATCCCAAGTGCTTAGCAAGGCGTTGCCAAAGAGCCAAGCAAACAGAATTCAAATCGGAATCCAAAGCGGCAATTAAGCGGACAAACGAGTCTAACAATGGAAACGACGGCCATAAAACAGCATGTGCGCATATATGCAAACTGCGAAACTGCAAAGGAATCTGAACCACAAAAGCAGCAGGTGCGCAACTGGAGATCAGCAGCAGCAGTGAGAGCAACAAGTTTACCATAATCACAATAATTTTCAACTCAACTGGACACAAGTGGCACAAACGGAAACAACGAGACCAAACCTCAGTATGTGCCAGTAAATGTGCCATAAAATGGGGGAAAGGGGACTGATCGAAGCCTCAAATTGTTGATGGACGATGGACAGAAGAACCAAACTGAGAAAGAATAGCGATTGTACAGGCAAATCCAAAGCGATTGCTGCCACTAATGATGGTTTAGTATCCACAAGACGCTTCAAGCTAGTCGAAGAATTATCTTCATTTGGATTTCCCTGGCCTTACTT